AGAGACAGCCAACTGGACAGTGTAGGAGAATCACAACGCCTTGAGGACTTGTTGGAGACTGAGTTGTAGCATGGACTGAGAAAAACTCCTGGACCCTCAGCTGTGCGGGGTGGGGAGCACACACTTCCGTGAATTTTACTAGAAGCCTCACCCGTTTTCGCTGTGAAGTGTGAAGGAACCACCCACCCCTCCCCTTTTCCCCTTGGGTGCCTCCAGCAGAGGAAAACTCAACTGACTGCCCCTGAGTGGATTCTGACCCTGGGAGATTCTATAGGGCAACATCGAACTGCCCCATGCGTTTCTCAGAGTGTAAATCTTGCCAGGAGTTAGAAAGCCCATCTTCCTCCCCCAGCAGGAGCTGGTGGGGCAAGTGATCCTGGAAGTCATGCTCTTTCCGCAAGCAAACTATTTGACCCGAACCCGGCCAGCATGGAGGAAGGGAATGATGAACTCCAGCCCCCTTCTAGCCTATGACAGAAAGGAAGAACTCCAGCCCTTTGGGCCCCCGGATGTGGAAGAAAGGAAATGCCATCTTCAGTCCTCTTTAGTCTTCGTGTTGCACCCAAGGAGTGGAAAACGAGAAAAAGAACTGCCGGCCCTGCACTTGGCCGGCCAGTGCTTACCCACAGCCCCGCCAGGCCACCGGCACAGGCAGGGAAACGAAAGGATCATGGTCTAATCATTGGATTCTAGAGTATTCCTTCATGTACCTCTTACCTCCATCTCAACAGGGCTTACAGGGGAGTGCAACTGAAAACCCTCAGGTCAAAAGAAATGAAAGAGAAGCCATTGTAATTACAAAGGAGAATTAAAATGATAATGAAACAGTGCTTTGAACAAATCTGTGACCACTGTTTTATAACTGAGATGAAATGGGCCAATTGCTAGAAACATAAAAACAAAACAAACAAACACCACACCATTGAGTTGATTCCCACTCACAGCACCACTTTAGGCTGGGGGAGAACGGCCCTGCAGGTCTCTGAGACTCTAACTCCTCATGGAGGAGAGCAGAGTGGCTAGTATTGACCGATCTGGCAGTTGGCAGCCCAGTGGGTGACCACTGTGCCACCAGGGCACCTGTTGAAAGACACACTGTACCACAGTCTGGTGGAAGAGAGCTGGATCCTCTGAAGAAACCCACGCTGAGTTGTCTCACAAAAATATGTGTTGACGTCCTAACACCTATTCTTGCAAATCAAAGTTTTCTTTGGTTAATAGCTCAAGCCATAGTAGGGTGGGTCCTAGAGCTAATCCCTCTGAGGGCTGTCTGTTAGAAAGAGCAGAATAGACTCAAACACACACGGGGAAGATAAATGGCCTGTGAGCATCTTCTGCGGGCAAGTGACTGCTGTGCACTGCTATCAGAAGCCAGGAGCGTGGCCGATGGAGGGAATCGACATGGCTCAGAGCCTGATCTGGCTTTTGCGGCTCCGTCGCAGTGAGAAAGTCAATGTCTATGAACGTTGCTCATGATAGCTACTGCAGCAGCTCTAGCAACGTGAGGTTCTAAAAGAACGTGGAACCACAGTTCCCAACCTTCCCAAACAAAAAGCACCAGGCTCGATGGTTTCCCTGGTGAATTTGACAAACATTCAAAGAAAAATAAACACAAATGCCTCTCAAATCCTGTTCTCTATTCCCAGGAAACAGACGAGGAGGTAATACTTGCTCACTCATCCTGTGAGCCAGCAGGACCTTAATATCAAAGCAGAGAAAGACATTGTGCTAGAAAGGAATATGACAGACCAATTTCTCTCATGAACAGAGATGCAAACATCCTCAACCCATCAATACGCCCGGCAATGTGTTAAAACAATTATACATCATGACTAAGATGCACCCCAAATGTGCAAGGCTGTTGCACATTTGTCAATCAATCAATGTAATCACACCAATAAAATTCTATGACCACATCAATAAACTCAAATAAAGCATTGGACACAATTCAGTACTTCAACCCCATTCATGATTTTAAATAACTAAATCTCTCTGGAAACTAGGGGTAGAAGTAAACTTCCTCAACCTATAAAGAATTTTGACTCTTTGCTGGGGACAAGGCCACTGTCAAGCGAAGAGTGTCAATCACCTGATGAAAGAGAAGAATGCTGGGTGGGGAGAGCAGAGCAGCAGGTAGCCACAGTGTAGGGTGGTTCTTTGATGAACTGTTCAGATGACGCCCTCCTACAAGGACGGCGTCACATGAGCGGGGAGGACTCTGGGCAAAGTCACAGCCTCTGTGTCACGGTAAATAAATTAGAAATGGTATCCTGTCTCTGCCCTATTTAAGCCACGCTATTTGTTTTTAAATTGTCTGTTCATTTTTCTCTTTATTTTACCTAGTAAGGGCTCTTGAAAGTTCACACCTATGTGAACGAACATTAGAAATGAAAGAGTTTAACACAACTTGAAAGGATAATTAACATGATGGTGAAGAAGTGCACTGAACAGTTCTGTGACCGCAGATTTGATCAGAGAAATGAAATGGATCCTTCCCTTGAGAGGCACACGGTGGCCTCTGTGGAAGGCTCTGGACTCATGTTTTGTCTGGACAGTTCAGAGAAGTTAGGGCAAGGTGGCTTGGTAATGGAGCCCGAGTGGCACCGTGGGTAAGACGTTGGACTACCATCCACAAGGCCTGAGATTCAAACCCACCAGCTGCTCCTCAGGACAAAGCTGAGACTACCTGTTCCGTAAAGATTTACCGTCTCAGAAATTCTGTGTGAGGTTGCTATGAGTCAGAACCCACGTGAGACAGTGGGGTGGGTCAAGGGGGCTTGGTGGTACAGTGTTTGGAGAGGAGGAGGTCTCGAGGAAGAGGGAAAGTAAGAGTACAAAGTTCAATTGATCTTAGTCAGCAGTCTTCTCCAGAATACTCTTCATCCAGGATTAAACTTTACCCATTAAAGTTTGTAGAAGGAAAAATTTACATCTCAAAGCTTCCCTTACTGGAGACCATCCAGTAGTTTACTTAGGAAATCTATTGTCAACTAAACGACTTTAGACAATAGAAACTTCCCTTGTAGATAGGGTTGCTATGAATCAGATGTATATATATAGGTATCTATATGCACATATACATACATACATATACACATAAATATGTGTATGTACACACACATATGAGTGGAAAGACCTGGCCTGGATTTAGATCTCACAGGTGGAAGGTGTTGTTATAATCTCTCTATCTAAGGAGTTGTACTCTACTGAATTTACAAAAAAACCCAATAACCAGCAGCCATTAGAAATGTCTGGTGTCTGCGATTTGAGGGAGCAGGCACATGTGTTGGGTCCCATCGAGCCAGTTCTGACCCTATATACAGCAGAGCAAAACCCTGCCCACTTCTACTTCATCCTCACACTCATCGTTACGTTCGAGCCCATTGTTGCCCCCAGTGTGTCGCTCCGTCTCCTTGGGGGTCTTCCCCTTTTTTTGATGACCCTCTGTTTCGAGACTGGGCTCTCCTGACAGCATGTCCGAAGACGGGAGATGAAGTCTCACCATCCTCTCTTCTAAGACACATCTGGCTTCGCTTCTTCCAAGACAGATTGCTTTGATCTCCTGGCCGCCCATGGTAGTTTCCTTTTCTTCACCAGCAGCATAATTCAAAGATACCAAGTCTCTGCAGTCATCCTGATTGCTCAGCTTTCACGCAGTAAACAGTTAAAAAGTAAAGAATGTAAAAGATGCAGAATGAGCAATATGTGATAACGTTACAGCCCTCCAACCCTGAGGATTTGGGGAAGGTTACTTTTAAACTGAACCTTGAGATGGAAGAATTTTTGTTGGCCGAGCGAAAACGCTTTTGAAGCAGAACACCATGAGCCAAGCTATGAAGCTTGTCATGCAGTGGTGCTCAGAGAATCGCTTGGAACTAGTCTGCTGAGACTGGGCACTCCAGTGATAAATTCTAATACTTGATCCAGGTTCAGATTTATTTTTATTATGAAACCTTCTAAGCAAACATAAAATAACTTCCAACAAAAGCAGATAGGTAATCGAACTTCCATATTTCCATCAAATAAACAATTCTTGTTTGTCCATATCGACTTCAACTTTTTGTCCCCCACCCCCTAAAATCATTTACAGTAAATTTCAGACAACATGAATATTTAGTTCCTAGATAGTTTAGAATGTACCTTCAAAAAGTAGACATTTTCGTGCATAACTGTAATGAAATTGACATTAATGCTTTCATGTTTTCTAAAACTCAATTCATGGCCAAATTTCTCTGATTACCTAAAAAAGGAAAATCTGTAAGTACTTATATATTTACGTATTCTATAATTTCTTATTGTGAATTAAGTGGAATTTTATAACAAATCATCAATTTTGTATTCAACAATTTAAATTACTTAGCAAATGCCCCAATAGCTTACCCTGCTCCCCCACTCCCACTCAGATTTCTCTTACCCTTTTGTGGATTACGGTCTTCCCCTTCACCCGTTAACCCTCTGCCCATTGCTCCATTTTCCATCCTGGCTTCCTGCGTCCCATGACAAGGATCAAAATCCATCTACTTTTTTATGAAAACTTTTGCCTTGATATATAGTTAAATAATGGTGGTCTTGGACTTATTGGCCCTTTTGTGATGGCTGATTTCATTCAGCATAATGTTCCCGCAGTCCATCTATGCCATGAGATGCTTCAAAGTTTCAACATTATTCTTTAGCAATGCATAGCATCCCAAGTGTGATCCTACCAAAGTTTCTTTATCCTTTCTTCAGCTGTTGGGCATTGACGTTGTTTCCACCTCCGTGCCGTTGTGAACAGTGCTGCACTGAGCGTGGGTGTGTGCACATCTGTACCCGTTAGGGCTCTTATATCTTTAGGGGATAGACCTAAACTCCAGATTTCTATTCCCAGTTGTTTCAGGTAGCACCATACTGCTTTCCATAGTCCAAGCAGCAGTGTTTGAGGGTCCTGACCTCCCCACACTCTCTTCAGCATTGGTGATTTTCTGTGTGGTTTTTGTTTTAGGTTTGAAATAACAAAGATTCAACCCGTCTGTTGTGCAAAGTGGCCATCGATAGGTGAGTGAGTGAGCATGGCTGTGTTCTAATCAAATTTTATTTTCATGTTGTTTGTTTTGTTTTTGAAATCTATGGGTGGGATGGATTTGTATGACGTAGTTGGCTCATTCCTTATGGTCTTATGTCAATGACTCACTGATGTGACTATCAGTTGCCTGTAATTTATTTGACTTTTGGTACAGTGTGCTTTAACCAGCTCTTATTTCTTTAGGGTATACACCTAAGTTCTCTTTCAGTATATAATCCCTGTATAATAATACATAATATCACTGATATTAAGAGCTCAAGTAGAAAGTAAATGTTTTGAGAATGATGATGGCAACAAAGTTACAAATGTGCTTGACACAATGGATGGGTGGGTGGATTGTGACAAGAATTGTATGAGCCCCCAATAAAATTATTTGAAAAATAATAATACATCATATATAATGTACATAATATATATTATGTGTTATTGTGAGTATTTTTATTGTCACTAAAATATATTGAATGAGGAAAAGACCCCAGGAGATTTAATACATTTCACGTGTGGAGCTGGAGAAGCATATTGAACACCCATGGACTGCTAAAAACACAAACCGATCTGTCCTGGAAGAAGTACAGCCAGAGTGCTCATTATAGGCAGGGATGACAAGACTTCATCTTACATGCTTTGGACATGTTGTTAGGAGAGACCAGTCCCTGGAGAAGGAGATCATGTCTGTAAAGTAAAGGAGCAGCAAAAAAAAGGAAAGGTCTCCACGAGACAGATTGATGTAGGTACTGCATCAGTGGACGCAGGGATAGGAGCAATCGTGAGGGTGGTGCAGGAGCATGCAGTGTGTCGTGCTGTTGTGCACAGGGTCACTGTGGCTTGGAGCAGACTTACAACAACAAATATATATGTATATATGTGTGTATACATATATAAATGTGGATTATAATACACATCGGGAATATACGTATATTAATATTTTTATGGTGAAGTCTTTTTTTAATTTCTTTTTTTGAATTTTTAAAATCATTTTATTAGGGGCTCATACAACTCTTATCACAATCCATACACACATCAATTGTGTAAAGCGCATTTGTACTTTCATTGCCCTCATCATTCTTAATAATGTCTGTAAAACTGAAAGTTGATCTAAAGGCTTCTTCCTTTCTGGTAATATTTCAAATATGGTTCGGAAAAAAAATTAGTATTAATTCATCTGACTTTAAAAGACTTGGGACATACTCGTCTAGGAAGTGGAAGTCCTAAGGTAGGCTTTGGCTGTTGGCTGAGAGTGTGTTTTTTCTTCCTCTTTTGACTTAACGCCCTCCTAGGAGAGGGTATAGCTGTGAGAACTTTGAGCCCCTCTGCTGGGTCCTCGGAGATTTCTCTTAATGACATTTTGACCTCTGGGCCACACTTCTGCACTGGCCACACCTTCCTTCTCTGACCCATGCTCCAGGTCTGATAGAGCCTCCAAGATGGCGTGGGGAACTTGTTTCTCTTTTTAAACCACTCTTCTGCAAAATGTTTCTTTTGCTCAGCTTCTTCTTCGTCTCAACCCCCAAGACGACCAAGTGTGGGATCTTTGGTGGCAGCAGGTGTTTTGTAGTCAGCCTATGAGACACTAGTACTTGTCCTGGGTGTCTTGGAAGGAGTCTCAAGCCAACAGCGTCTAAAACTCTTAAACACCCTGATCCTGGGTTTCAGCATCTTTGAAGAAGCAAGCTTACTGGTGAGAATCAGTTTTTTCTCTGTTCTAAAAGATTTTGTTACACTTAAATTCAGAACAGGGTGGGGGACATCCGGCCCTGAGGTCGTGTAGAAGGCCCTCCAAATCTCCAACACGAGCTAATATCTCACGCCTCATCGAAGACAAGCTGTTCCAGCCGTCACCTTCCGAAAGCCAAACTCGCTGTTGTCGACCCAGTGCCGACTCCTAGCAACCCTGTGTGACAGGTGGAACTGCCTCTGTGCATTTCTGAGGCTCTCTTTATGGGAGTAGAAAGCCTCATCTGAAGTCATTGAATGTTTGCCCAAACATAGAAAGCTACATTTTAAGTTGAGAATTTGGTATCGCCTGCAAATGATAAAGATCCAAATGGTCCCTGACAGAAAAAAAGTTTCCCCACCCTGTTCTAGCGCATCGGAGGAAGCACACTGACCAATAGTCATTCTTAGAAGTCTTTGTGGTCATTTAAGAATAGTTCCATTAAGCAGAGTGTACTAAGCTACTCTCGGCTTGGTTCTATGCAAGAGGCTAGTGTAATTACAGGCAGAGTTAAGTAAGCGAGCATTGCTATGAGGCGTCCGGTCTGTACATGCACAGGTTTACTGCAAACAGACCTCTCCGTGATCACGGATGACTTACAGACACACACTCAATCATAGGCTTGGTTCAGAGTCCTCCCACACCCACGCACTCACTCACTCACTGCCAGCGAACCGATTCTGACGCATCGTGACCCTGGGAACAGGGTAGTACTGCCCCTGTGGGTTTCTGAAACTCTAACTCTTTTTGTTTGTTTGTTTGGAATTTATTGTTAATTGGGAGTTAATACATATATCATTCCAGAGTTCAATTATATCAAGCAGAGCTGTACAATTGTTATCACAATCAGTTCCCATACATTCTTTTTCTTCCTGGACTCCTTGACATTGCCTTCCTTTTACCCCTCCGCCCCACCATACCCAACCCTCTCCACACCCCCACCCCAAAATCCTTATTCTAATTGCTGTCCCTGTAGGTTCATCTCCTAGGTTTCATAGACCAAAAACCAGAAAAGCATGTAACCCAGCTTCAAGAGGGTGACCCCCAATGACATAACATCTCTGAGATACACACTAAGATAAACTAACAAAACCAAAAATACAGAAAATGTTGAAGGCCAAGTCAGGTCTGGCATGCATCAGAGGGGAGATGAACTGGAAATTGTAACTCTTCATGGGAGTAGAAAGCCTCGTCTCTCGGCCGCGGAGCAGCTAGCTGGTCAGCTAGCTGACTTGCATAAGGTCATAACCCACGGCTCCACCAACAGCCCTATCAAAACCAGCTTCTGAAGGCACCGCCGGGGCCAGTTACGTTCAAGGCGCAGAGATCAGCTCACAGAGTTATAGAAACTCATTTTGTGGTGGTGGTTGCCTTGTTTCGATTCTCCCCTCCGGGATAATCTGGATAGAGCTGAAAGAGCACAGGATGGGCATTAGGAGACAGGGCCTTATCATGATGCGGGAAAGACTTTTGAACGGAGAGGTGGGATATGGAAGAGTACGTTTCTTTAACCAAAGGAGAGTTGGTAAACGACAAGGGGTTAAAGGGTGGTACAGGCGGAACAAAAGCACAGGCAAAGCCCTCGTAATTATACGAAACATCCAATTTTGTATTTGTTTTCTATGATGGTTGAAACCAATTGTTACAAGCTTGGTGGCTTGAAACAGCACGCATTTATCATCTCAGAGTTGTGAAAATCAAGTCTTACGTGGCTCTCACTGGGCTAAAAATCAAGGCATCAGCAAAGTTGTCCTTTCTTGAGGCTCTAAAGTAGGTTTCCTTGGTCTTTCCCAACCTCCAGAGACCACCCACAGACCTTGGCTCATGGCCACTTTCTCTATCTTTAAATATCACCACCTCGTGTCTCCCAAGCCTTTCTCCCGTGGTCATGTCTCTTTCTCTGAACCCAGTCAGGAAAGCGTCTTCATTTTTAAAGGACTGGGCCTGTAATACACAACAATAATTTCCACATCTCAAAATCCTAATGTTCATCATCTCTGCAGAATCCCTTTTGCCACTGAAGGTCCTCTTCACGGGTTGTGGAGATTGGGGCTTGGGCATCTCTGGGAGGCCTTTACCTATCCCCGATTTAAAGAGCTGAGGAAGCCTGCTGTGGCCAGAGCACTGGCAGAGAGGAGATGGAGCTGGGAAAAGAGTAGGGCAGAAAGAGCCTTCCGGTCATATTGACTATCATTTATCCCAAGAGAAAGTCTGGTGAGATTTATTACTTCAAACTTGGAATCAGCTATTTTCCCAAGGAATTCTCTTGTTCCTTTGTTTTAAAGTGGAAAACGATATGTAGAGACTATAAGATGGATCCTCTTGGTTGTTTGTTGCTACTGGATTGGTGGTTGTTTTAAAGCCTTTGAGCAGACAATGGCAAAAAACATTGTTCCAAATAAAACACTTTCTTACCAGAAGGTTTTTACTGTACTTGAAAAAAGCCCACCAAACTGGTAGATCTGATATGCATCCCTTCTTTCTCTGATGCCAAAAAACTCAGTGGTCAAAAACACTAGCCTAATTTGTCTATTCATTTGTTCACCTATTTAATCATTGCTTTATATCATTATGAACTTCCATAACTCATTTTCATCAAGTTGATGCCCCATAGGGTTTCCAAGACTTTACATCTGCACAGAAACACACTGCTGCATCTTCCTCCCATGAAATATTGGCGGGCTCCAACAGTCACCTTCCAGTCAACAGGCGTGCACTTGACTCCTCTATCGTGATTTCATGGAGATTTGCTTTGTCCTTTGAGTTACTATCCAATCTTACTTTACTTACCATATATACTCAAGTATAAACTGACCCGAATATCAGCCGAGGCACCTAATTTTACCACAAAAACTGCATTAAAAATGTGCTGAGCCTCTACTCAAGTTCTCCCGTAACACTTTGTTATGATAATCTGGCATTCTGAGATGCTCACCTTCCTGACATGATTGCTGAAGACAAATGTGTACATAAGCAAATGTGGTGAAGAAAGCTGATGGTGCCCGGCTATCAGAAGAGATAGCATCTAGGGTTTTACAGGCTTGAAGATAAGCAAGTGGCTATCTAGCTGAGAAGCAACAAAGCCCACATGGAAGAAGCACACCAGCCTGTGTGATCATGAGGTGTCTGTGGGATCAGGTATCAGGCATCAAAGACCCAGAGCAAAAAATCATGTCAATGTGAATTTGGGGGGTGGGAGGGATTGTTGGCGGGGAGTGTGGAGTGAAATCCCAAAGCCAATCTGTAGGCAATTGGACATTCCCTTACAGAAGGGTCATGGGGAGAAGACGGGCCAGTCAAGGTGCAGTATAGTACTGATGAAACATATAGCTTTCCTCTGGTTCTTTAATACTTTTCCTCCCCACCCCTATCATGACCCTAATTCTACCTTACAAATCTGGCTAGACCCGAGCATGTAAATTAATACAGATAAGAGCTGGAAACACAGGGAACACAGGACAGATAAACACCTCAGGACCAATATTGAGAGTAGACATACCAGGAGGGTAAGGGGAAGGTGGGAGGATAAAGGGGGAACCGATAACAATGACCTATCTATAACCCCCTCCCAGGGGGATGGACAACAGATAAGGGGGTAAAGGGAGACATCGGACAGTGCAAGACATGAAAAATAATAATAATTTACAAATTATCAAGGGTAGGGAGGGAAAAATTGAGAAGCTGATACCAAGGGCTCAAGTAGTAAGAAAATGTTTTGAAAATGATGACAACAAACGTACAAATGTGCTTGACACAATGGGTGTATGTATTGGTTGTGATGAGTTGTATCAGCCCCCAATAAAATGGTTAAATTTAAAACAATGTACTGAAAAACTCAGCTTATACACAAGTATATACGGCAGTTTGTTGCTTGTATTTTCCAGCTTTAACCATAACCCCTACTTCCATCTTTCAGACAGCAGTGTAATGTTCATGAAGTCTCAAACGCTCTCTCCTTTGCTTCCACCTTCATATCACTTTCTGTGAGTATGATGCTTCTCCCTTTCTTGGTCGTGGTTGATGATTTACTGTGGAGAAAAGACACACAGCTAAACATTCTCCAGCACAACTTCCACGGTTAAAAATCAATGTCATTGGATACATTTTTATGCATATACGATGTGCATTATATGTGGATTTTTTTTTAACCAACCTAGCATGCAAGTCTCTGTGTGTTGGAGTGTGAGCAAATTATTTACTTGGGCACCTCATTTGCTCCTCTTCATTTACACTACATTTTCCACAGCGGGCGATGAAGGGTTTACGTTCCCACCAGCAGTGGATGAAGGTTCCAGTTTCTCCACAACCTCCAATACTTTTTTTTTTCTGTGTTTTTGATCATTGCCATTTGAATGGGGCTGAGATGGTTGTGGTTTTTATGTGAATCTTAGTATTTTTTTATGAAATTAATGGTTATTTTTGAATAATTTGAGATTTACAGTGGGGGGAGTTGCAAAGCTGGTGCACGGAGACCTGGGATGCTCTGTCCCCCGTCTCCCAACATCTGACATGAGCACCGTCCATGTGTGACAACGCAGAGCTGGGTTCCTGGCTCGTGGCCGATGAAGCAGTGCCGTGTGCATCTCTCTGATGATGTTGACTCTCTTTTCCTGTGCTCCTTGCCTTCACCCTCCATTTGACAAGGGCGTTTAGGCTTCTAGTGAGCCCAACGGGTTAAGCCAATGTAATTTCCCCATCTGGAGATCTTTAATTAAATTATGTCACCAAATTCCAGTTTGTATTTTTAGGATGTGGACACCTTTGTGGCCTGGAATTTTTCAGTCTACCTTTCCTTGTCATGCCACATCCCCCACAGGGCCCGAGCAGCTTCCCACGGCAGCCGCACCTCCTCATTCTCTTGCTCTTGTTAGGGACCAGCAGGTTGGGTCCAGCTCAGGGCAACTCGATGTCCCACAGAACCACGCACTGCCCAGTCCGACATTCTCCTCACATTGTTGTGACGTGTGAGCCCATTGTTGCAGCCATTGTGTCAATCCTCTTGTTGAGGACCTTCCTCTTTTGGGTTGACCCTCCACCCTACCAAGCATAACATCCTTCTCCAGAGACTGCGCCCTCCTGAGAACACGTCCAAAGTGTGTGAGACCAAGTCTTGCTAGCCTCGATTACAAGGAGCAGTCTGGGCACTCGTCATTCCCAGGGAGTGCCCAACTGCACTGGCGCTCGGAGGCAGGTTGATAGGCTTGTCACTTCCAAGTGACAAGTAAGTGCCTTTGGCACCACATACTGGAAGGCTATTCCTTTTTCAGAGCTCGACTGAAATCCTCTTGAACCTCTTTGATTCCTCTATGGCCCCCTCCTCCCAAACTGGGCCCACACCTGCCACTTTCGTTCTGGTCCTGCTATTTAACCTTAAAAACCTGTCTGCTACTTTTCCATAGGTCGTTACTCTTCCATACTAGCTTTAGATGCCGCCAGATCCTAAACTTTAGAAAAGAGCAAAATCTTGCTCATTTGTATTTCCCCCATTGGAGCCCTGATGGTAATGGGGGTTAGCTTAGCTAGGAACTACAATGTTGGTGGTTTAACCCCACCAGCTGCTCCTTAGAAGAAAGATAAGGCTGTCTGCTGCCATAGTGAGTTAGTCTAGGAAGACTAGAGAAAACAAATCCACAGAAACTCATATATGTATAAGAGAGTTTCATATGACGAACAAGTGTACATTAAGGAAGCCACCCAACCCAGGGCTGTCCAAGCCCATATGTCCAACACCGATCTACAAAGTCCTCCTCACTGTCACAAAACACATGCAATGACACCGACTGCAGGAGGAAAGCCGAATCAGTGAGCCTGGAAGCATCTCAGCGCTGGCAGGGGTCTGGTCTCCACACAGCTGCTCCAGCACCCAGGGCTGCATCGGGGTAAGTCCATGTGGCTTCTCCTTGGGTATGTCTTACAGGAAGTGAGCCTTGCCAGCTGAAACAGGGAACCAGCTAAGGTAGCTGCTACCTGGTCTGACCATCACAAAGCAAGAGACCCGAGAATTTGAAAGGCGAGGCTCGCCAAGCCATTTATCTCTCCACCCTTCAATTAATCCTACATGTGTTCATTGACCAGGTTGGCACAATAAACCTTAACTATCACACATAGAGATTTACAGCTTAAGAAAGTCTATGTAAGATCACCATGACTCAGTGGCTGTGGCTGTGTAGGTTGATTGGTTGGTCAGTACCTTCTGAGCTGTACTCAATTGCTAAATTTTTGGTGAATTGGGACAGTTCTTAAGAAAATTTGGTAATGAAAAGACCAATAAATGATGAGATATAAAATGAAGAAAATTTTGATATTATGTCAGAGTAAATTAGAAGCAGGGAGAATAAATTAGAGAGACTTATGCTGTACTTTTACTCATTTGTTCAGATTGCTACATCTGCTTTTAAGAGGAGTGTTAATGATTTCTCCCTGCTGTTGTCATCTGTACTTACGAGTACACAGGGGATAAATTAATGAGAATTATTAATACTCCTGCATTTCATGACAGTTTTACTAATTTATGAGCAGTAAATGCAATTTGAAAAGCCTTCTTTGGGCCATTCTTTTTTAGAATAATCACAACTGCCTGCTCCAAATTATTATTTTACTCTTGTTTGGGTTGTCTGTAAAGTTAAGTGCAGATTATAGAAGCCCAATACAAACGTAGGAGGGGAAATTAGTCTCTTCTCTTTTAAGTGAGTAAAGAACAGCTTGTCTATGGTCTTCATGGGAGTACTTAGGACTGTTAACTTGAAGATTACGTGAAGAATGGTGAGCAACAAGCTATTTGACAGTAGAAGTCAGGTTTCTGCTTACAGATATGCCAGGTGCACCCTGTCCTTAAGGAGGGCTGTGAAACTGCATGAATAAATGGCCTAAGGGAAATTTCCAGAAGCTAGGTTACCTGCTGCTTCCTACTAAGGTTATTTTATTTATTTATTTATTTATTTTACATTTACCTCATTCAATTTTTTCTTCTTCTCTTTTTTAACATTTTATTAGGGGCTCATACAACTGTTATCCCAATCCATACACACACCAGTTGTGTAAAGCGCAGTTGTACATCGTTTCTCAAATCATTTTCTCTCCATTTAAACCCCCGACATTAGGTCCTCATTTTTCCCCTCCCTCCCCGCTCCCGCCTCCCGCATGAGCCCTTGATAGTTTATAAATGGGTATTTTGTCATATCTTGCCCTGTCCGACGTCTCCCTTCATCCACTTTTCGGTTGTCTGTCCCCCAGGGAGGAGGTCACACACAGTTCCATGTAATCGGTTCCCTCTTTCCTACCCATTCTCCCTTTACCCTCCCTGTTTTGCCACTCACACCACTGGTCCAATAGGACTCATCCGTCCTGGATTCCCTGTATTTTCAGTTCCTATCTGTACCAGTGTACCTCCTCTGGTCTAGCCAGTCTTGCAAGATAGAATTCGAGTCATGGTAGTGGGAGCGGGGAGGAAACCTTTAGGAACTAGAGGAAAGTTGTATTTCTCATCATTGTTACATCGCACCCTGACTGGCTCATCTCCTCCCCGAGACCCCTCTGCAAGGGGATCTCCAGTGGCCTACTAATGGGCTTTGGATCTCCACTCCGCACTCCCCCCATCATTCACTATGGTAAGATTTTTTTGTTCTGATGATGCCTTATACCTGATCCCTTCGACACCTCGTGATCACACAGGTTGATATGTTGTTCCATGTGGGCTTTGTTGCTTCTGAGCTTGATGGCCGCTTGATTACCTTCAAGCTTTTAAGACCCCAGACGCTATATCTTTTGATAGCCGGGCACCATCAGCTTTCTTCACCACATTTGATTATTCACCCGCTTTGTCTTCAGCGTTGTGTCGGGAAGGTGAGCATCATAGAATGCCGATTTACTAGAAGAAAGTATTCTTGTGTTGAGGGAGTACTTGTGTACTAAGGTTATTGACATTGTACCTCCTCCCCCTCCATTCTCACCCCCTTTGGTCACGTTACATCTGGGCTTATTGGCAAACTCTTCAGCAAATGGAACAAACGTTCCAAGTACAGTGGGCCAAGTTCTAGCCCCCCAACCCCAGTGCTGTTGAATGGATTCCATTGCAGAGTAGCACTATAGTCCCTGGAGAATTGCTCCCCAGAGTTTCTGAAGCAATGAACCTTTGTAGGAGCAGGCCGCCTTGGCTTTCTCCTGGGGAATATCCGGTACACTTGAACTGCTGATGTTGCAGTTAACAGCCCAACACTTATCAGCCACTGGGGCCACCAATGCCCCTTTGGTTTCAGTTTAGGGGTGGCAGGATCAGGTGTTTGCATTATGTGTCCTTTACAGAATCTGTACAACAACGACATCTTATAACAAACGTAGGCCCCTAGAGGTGCCTCCCCGGCAGTGCTTGAGATTAGAGTAGAAGGCAGGGGCAGGTTGAACTCCAGCTAGGAGTTCTCTGTGGACACTCAGGTTTTCGTATCACTTTACAGAATGAGCATTTTCAAAGTCAACTCTGTCATCCCAGTCTTACTCAACAAAGCATCTGCATCTTTTCCATCCTTCTCTGTTATTTTGAGTTATGCCAGAGTAAATAGTGCACCCCAAGAAGAAAGGCGAGAGCAAATGTTGTTCCTGCCCTTTTTGCATAACATTTAAGTAAAACAAATGGTCCTTGAGGTTAGCTCCTGCCAGGGTTTAGTGTCTGTGTGGGTCGCGTGGACTGAGTTGTGTTCCTCCAAATGTGCTGTAAATCCCCACCCTGTGATGAGGAGCCTTAGTGACACAGAGGGTAGGCACTCACCTGCTCACCAACATGTCGATGATCTTTCAAATAGACCAGCAGCTCCAAGGAAGTCACACGAAGCCATCTGCCCTGTCAAGGTGGAACCCCAACACAAACACACTGCCGTGAGTCGACGCTGACTCCTAGTGATGCTCTAGGACGGGGTAGGACTGCCCCTGCGAGTTTCCGAGACTTGCTTTATACAGGAGCCCAGAGCCTCGTCTTTCTCCCGAGGAGCAG